CCCCCCCCCCCCCCCCTCCTTTCCCTCGAATACATTTTCACCCAGTAGCACGATACGAATCAGTTTGGCGGGTGCTAGCGCTGAAAATTGTATCCCTACGCAGGAATACTGTACTGTGTACAAGTAAATGACGAAATGCAAGGAATGAAGTGTTTAGCAGGGTTTTTTTCGCTTCGGGATGGCTGCCTTCCTTTCATCTTTTATGGATATTCGAGTGATATCTTGGTCTCTCTGTAGCCCAAATTCGTTACTAGTTACTTTACTACTGCGATCTACGCAATCTCTAACTGTTTCAGAGCTTTTTGTGGCAGCTGCTTCAGGCTCTTGCTTATTGTCATACACGCAGGGTCTTACATCGGGACTTGAAACCGCAGAACCTTCTTGTTGATAACAGCGGTGTGATTAAATTGGCCGATTTCGGACTTGCTAGGTAAGTGCAGGGCTTATCAAAGCTATGACATCTGCAATTATATCGCGTATGAGTCCACATTCGATCACCCTAGCAAATTCGAAAATTCATTTCTCCTTTTTGAAAGTCCTTTCTATTCTTACTGTTTAGTTGCTGCTACCCATTCGAAATGAAGTGTCCAAGAATATTCTTGGTTGGCCAAATCTCCCAAACCACCAGGGTCGTCTTTATTTCGCAACCTATTAAAGTACTATCAGACTCACAACAACACAATTACTCGCTCGTACATGGCATTACAGTGAATATTTGGGTTTCTCGTGTTGTTGCTATATTTCCAGAGCGAAAACAATTCGGAAATGAAAACAGTCACTTCAACATCAGTTTGTTTCTTTGTATGTATAATGCAAGTAATATAACTGTAACCCAAATGACAGAATAGTGATGGGTAACCTTTGGGAGAGTTGATCCCTGCCGTTCATTATATTTTGATAACCGTATATGTGGAAAATAAAAGATTTAGGCCGGCAAGGTTACATAGAAATTCTGTTTCAATTTGCCATGATACTAATGACTCTCAACCACAAAATTCGCAAATATCCGTTTTACTTCGAAAGGTATAGCTAATGAGACAGCTTTTAGACATTCATGCATCTTCAGTTGCTCTGCGGCTCGAGTGTATGACCGAAAGCATTGCATATCAGTCATTTGATTGACGTGTGCTGTTGTTATCGTGTTTTTTTTTTAGGAATTTTTCCATTCCCAGTCGTGTATATACTCATGAGGTTGTCACATTATGGTACCGAGCACCAGAGGTGAAGATTATTGCTTCAAAAGGTTTCTCCTTTCTTCTACGTCTCTTATTTTCGCTTTCTGTAGATATTATTGGGAGGTCGTTACTACTCTACCGCTATCGATGTGTGGAGCCTGGGTTGTATATTCTCCGAGATGGTCTCCGGTAATCCACTATTTGCCGGTGATTCCGAGATTGATCAGCTGTTCCGTATATTCAAAATCCTCGGAACACCTACTCCAGAAGTACATTATTTTTCGTTGTCGGTTATCATCCATTTATCTATGCTTTCGATTAGGTTTGGGCTGGTGTAGAAAAGTTGCAAGACTACAAGAGATCATTTCCGAAATGGACCTATAACGAGAAGGCTCTAGTTGAAGCAACATCTCCTATGACAGATGATGGGATCGATCTTCTCAAAGTGAGCAAATACATTGTAGTATTTTGGGAACTGCTAATCAGCAGTTTGTTCTCTTATGTCAATTATAGCTTGCTTCGTTGTAGGAGATGCTGCGTTATGCTCCCGAAAACAGAATCACAGCAAAAGCAGCACTGGGGCATAGATTCCTTCGCGACGTAGTGCTGCAGCCGCCAGAAATCACGCCGTTGCTTCATGCACCGTCAAAGTCCACCGTCGCTTCTGCGACCGAACAAACTATGGAGACGCATCAACAGCACGAACTCTGATGGTGCGGAAAATTGTGGTTACCTTCTTAGCAACGTGTGCACAATATGTAGTAATAGCTCAAGCTGAATCAGCTTTACTTCATAAGTGTTTTTTATGAGAGCGGGAAAAGTGGAAATTTACCGGTTTTAACGCATTACCCGGAAACAAGATTTTCGAAAGGGTATTGTCCTTCTCAGAATTTCTGTGATCACGTCTTTGAAAAAGAGTTTAATTTTGCTCATTTAGGATTTTGTCATTTTCTGTTTTTGATAAAAAGTACACTAACCATATAGTGTGTAACAACTGCTACCCGAACAAGGAGAAACGATACATGGCCTTGCAACGGTAAAAAAGAATGCGAAAGGCGTAATAAGCTGTACATATAGTAAACGCTGATATACAGGACGCTGTCTATCTGATATGTGCTTGACCATGAGTTCATAACTCCTGTTTCTTTTTACCCAGAGCGGCAATTTCGTAGGAGTTCAAGCAGCAGGATAGAATGCTGAAGCTAAGGGTATAGGTAATACGAATGGACTCAGCTCACAGTGGGCAGGACATGTGCGAAAAACGTTGTTTTGCTTCTGAGGCTTTAAATTTGCAATGAGTACAATCAGCAGTATGGTGGTCCTCATGATATGCTATAGGGTGACTAAACTGGATCCCGCCCCGGGCGTGTAATGGGATGGAGGGACGGAGCGTAGTGAAGTGAGCGCAATTCATTTGTAAGTAAAAATACGCAGTCAAGTTGGACTAAGCGATAATGAACAAGGACACTCGAGCTCACGGGGAAAAGACGCACATACATTTTGTCGGCGTGTGCGTTTCGTCAGAATTCAATAATTCCTGCATTCCAGGGCCTGCAAATCTGAAAGGAAACAGGCAGCGGGGCAGCTTCGGCACCAAATGAGGAGAGTCTGCGTTAGCCGGGCGATCCGACTGGTAACTAGACAACTGGAAGAGTGTGTTGGTGATTATGTTCTCACTAAGTAGTGAAAAAGATCCTATTTATATAAAGCGCTTCTATCGTTTGTTGTTAAGTATGTCTGCCACAAAATTTCCTAGCTCCTTCATATCTACCTGGAGAGACCGGGTCAAGCATGGGATGGGTGGACCATGTCCCGAGTAGTCAAGAGCACACATCAGCACGGTGGAGCCCCGCCTACAGTGGGCGTGGCGTGCATCGAAATGAGCTCTACTGAGGACCATCATTTCAAATTCAGTCACAAAACGGCTCCAAAACTGGGGTGTAAAGGTGGCCAGAGGTGTACATTGGTAAGTTAGATCGAACTAGGGAGACCCAACCCCGATAGACGGGGCGTTCCCCAAAAGTGCGGGGCTTTATGAAAACATTTATAACTCGGCTTGGAGAAAGCCAACAGGCAAGAAAAAGTTGATGTAGGGAAAGCATTGTCGAAGGTGTTCCAGCATAAATAACGTCGGCGGAGGCCCGCCCACGATGGGCGGAGCGTGCCTCGAGGCTCACATCGTTTGAGTGGAAATCATAAATCCTGCCCTGTTGACCTAGAAATTTAAAAGTTGGAAGGAGTATAGGCAGCTAAATGGGAACACTCACGGTGGGTAGCAAAACCAGACTCCGCCCACAATGGGCAGGGTTTGCGCGAACATTGTCAATTTGACTCTAGGGCGTTCAAACTTGGTAGAGGTACAGGCGGATATGAACAGTTATGATAGGTGGCAAGACCGAAAAAAAAAGCCTGTGGGATATGCTACGACTATATAATCTATTCGAGCTCTGTTTCAGTTTCGTATCCTCACTCAGCTAAACAGCGGATATAAATTTCAAAAAGGAGAAAGAATTTCTTCAGTTCAACATTTCTCGGGGTAGTGTGTTTGCCACAAGAAGAAGGAGAGCCCGGCGTTAGCTGGGCAATCCGACTGGTAGTAATTAAGACGGCGTAAGTGAATATGCAACGTTAGGATACTTGGAAGAGATTTTCACTTAGTGGTCTTTCTACATCTTCTAGAGCGAATTGTTTTGCCCTTCATTTATCAGGTGATAACGAAAGGAATCTGTCAATCAATCAGGGTCTTCTAGGGGCTAATTGCTACAGAATCGGTTTAAGGCTGTAATTTCCTGCGATTTATTGCATTTAGATTTTTATTAACGGTTACCTGACCGATAAAAACGCTTAACAACACGGTTTTTACCCTTCATTTTATTTATTTATCTTGACAGGCCCTCCTCAGATTATCACGGTGCAATGACTGCTGCAGCCGTGAATCCTGTATCCTGTACAAGTGAATCTGTATAGAATTCTACGTACATCTGATTGAAAGTCGACGTGAACACCTTTACACCAGCAGCAATATGTCCGCTGAATCTGAATTGGTATCGTTACATTTTTAGAAATCGCTGACCGTTTATTGTAATAGTTAATGCAAATCGAACCTGTCCAATAAGGGGTTATAGGGAGTTTCATTGTAGTCATAGACGCTGATGATGTCGCAGCACTGTTCGGTGTTGATCTCTCCGAATGTCAGCAGTATCCTAGAGATCTACTCTTACAGAATTCGAGATCTACTGTTACTGTTATTGAATTTACTGTTACTGAAATTTCGTAGTTTTCATAACAGAAAATACCTATTTCCAGGAGTTGTCGATAGTTCATAATGGCATTGAGCCAGCGCTGGATAATTGCCAGGATATCCCGGACTGGTGATCTGAAACATTGCTGTCAACCTTCCACCGTACAGGTCAACGGGATTGGTGATATACCCATGTAAACAAAATCGAAAAACAGGCACATTGGCCTCGACAAAACAAAGCTCGACAGCCACGAAGTATGAAATCGAGTGAAACTGTACTGCATCACAGATTTTTCGCAGAATTCCTACCCAACCCTTCATCAACTCGGTAGAATTTTTACAAGAACTTTGATAATATATTTCTCTTTTTAGTCATCAAACGACCTGCCACTTTCGCAGCGGTTCGGTCACCATGGAATTCTANTGTCGTCTTTGATCGTAGCGCTAGACAAGCATTATCGACATTCGAGTTACGCATTCGCTAGTCTCTATCTCCCTTTTCTTGGGTATTGTTCCGTTCTGGAACGCTGTTGGGCACCTTCCTCTTCGAGTCTAGATGCGCTCGTGCCCCGACCACTTGACCTCTACTCCTTCGCTGGTTTCTGACTATTTCCGTAACAGATACCCCTCCCCAACCGTTGCTGAGCCTAAATACTCGTGAAATAGGCTCTAGAAAGGCTCCAAAAATTTTGTGAGCGAGGTTGTGCCTTCATCAGTCTAGTTGCGCTCACGTCGACGCGCACCCCTCACCGTAGAAGTTTGACTTCTCGCTTGCTTGTATCTAAGGTGAATATGAACCTTTGTCCATTTTTTGCCTCCAGGCTGCTTTGAAGCGATTGGTGGGGTATTGCCTTACACCGATAGCATTTCTGTGTATACCACTTTGTGAGTAGAGCTCTAATCAGCTGCTTTACTCATCTTGGCCTATGCCTTTGCTCCCTTACCAAACTTCGTTTGTTCAGGTAAAGCTCAAGTTCGTGATATAGATGCATTACTCGCTCGTAGGTACCTACATTCGTTGGTATGGTAAACATCTGGTTGCATTGTGAAGGATTGTTGGGAGATGGTGTAATCGTGACTGGTGGTACGGTTGAAACTGTAAAACTGTTATATTTAAATCTCATTTTTACATGACATTCATTGCTCTATGATACATAGTGAGCAATATTAAGTACCCTGCTCTAGGGTGACCGTATTCGATTAATTAAAGTGGTAAAGTTGGACATACTAGGAATTGCTGGTAAAAACTCGGCTTCCCATCTGTCTGCTGCTTGTTTTCCAGCACGATATACCATTTTCATAACGTTAGAAGACGACGTGAAATACTTCGATGAAGGAACATCACCACTAATGCTAAAAGGCCTCCGTGTTAAACACAAACGTTCTAAAAAAAGATATTTGTATGATGCAGTACGTGTTGAATGGAACGGTATCGACAAAGCTGTTATAGAACTCCAAGGTGCTGCCATTGCCAAGCTGAATATCTATGAAGTGGATTTGAACGAGGTCTTCAGGAGCTACTGTCAGAATGTAGATACAAGGATTAGTTCCCTGGTAAGATGCCGGATATCCTGGCGAGTAGAACTGAAATTAAGAGGTGAAAGACGAACGCGAGATTGTGGAGTGCCGAAACATTAGGAGAAGGACCAACCGAGCCCCTCCCATCGAAGAACTGAGGTGCGTCACATGTCGATGGGGCAAGCGTACCGATAGAAAGTGTGGTTGTCTCCACACATATTCCCATTTCTGAAAGTATACAACATCAAAGATGTAAGGCGTAATCAGGCTCAAATTGAACTTCCATTTATAACATTCTTCGAAAGGAGTTGGTAGGTCCATATAGGGGTCTATGTATATAGGGTCCATTCCAGTTCACAACTTCACTTCAAAGATCCTTCTGATAGGTTTATGCTGGAAGCAGAATATCGCTAGAAGTTCGTGGAGAACTTCCAAGAGGGAACCTATTTTCCACTGCGAACCAAACCCACTGAATTCAACCATAAGCTAACCTATGTCCTTGGGGTGAGTTAAGCCAGCAGTGTTCCCTCCCGAATGTATTGAACTGCTTCGCTGGGTCCATGCATTGCCTGGGTTTGCTGTTTTACTCCACAGTTAGATACTCATATGAGCATATTTACGTTAGTCATGTGCCAGTAGTACAGCGAGGACCTTCACTTTTCCTTTTTTGACTCTCATTTGGGCGCTTTTGATGTCAATAGAAAGGTGGAATTGAGGGTGAACACGCACATGTGCGATTCCGTTAGAAAAGCTACTTTTTTGTTTTTATTTACAGGCTCATTTATTTAAGTCAGAGATCAAGCGCCTGACCTCTCTTGCACACAAATGGCAATTCCTGTCCACATGACACAGTAATCCATTTCCCTATATTTACCAGTTCATTGACCATAGACATCGCTACACATTGTCCAAAAGCTGGGTTGTTGTTGCCTGCAGTGAATGCATATGAAGAAAATCGCCAACCGGCGAATTTACCGTCTTTATATATTCCTACCAAAATTGTTGTAGTCGAAGGCGGTGTGATCTGTCCAATTATACGAACCACTGCTTTGCCTTACAAGTCCGGTCAATACATAGTTTGTTTGCGCTCCAACTAGTGTGCTTATCATTGAATTTTCCTGAATCAATTGATTGGTAAATAGTAAATTTGATTGTCAATCAGGTTTTGCTTGTTCTTCATCAGTATTTATTGAAGTGGTCGCGTGAGAGGTCGAGATCACTTTGAATGAAAGATTCTGCTTGCTGTGTGAATGAATTCTGAAATTGCTTAAGAGCACAAGCTGCTATCACCAAGTCAACATGGGGTTGATTCCCAAGCAGATTTCGTGCGTGAACCAACAGTGAAAACATGGTCAGGCGTTTAAACTTTCCCTACAATATACCCTTACTTCATTCTACATCACTCATCGTGTTCTATTAACTATGAGACCCACACGCTGGTTGCAAAATCTTCCCTGTCGAAATGACTAATAGTTCAAAGAGACTCTCCTACTTCTTGAGGTAATCATGTAGGAATTGACAGGAAGGCCTTACCAGGGGAGGGTTTCATTTTCCTATGGGATTTTTCATAGAGACCTAATTATATCGATAGATTTAACGCTATTCACAAACTCGAAACCTTACCGATGGGTCCGGTTCCCTATTCAAAGTTTTATGGGAAGTTGAAACCCTTCCCTGGTTGAAGGCCTTCCTCACTATATGAGTAGCAATGAGATGGGTTGAAAACAAGTAAGAAAAAGGAGGTACACTTACATCATTACTATGAATGGAAGTAATGTGACCACAGTGTTCGATACAAAGCGACTCGGCTGTAGCCATGGGCAGCGGTTGGTCGAACACCTGATAGCACTGACCTCCAAATTCAGTGAAATCGGCACAAGAACCTTAAAAAAAAGGGCATATATCGTGAATCGAAGATAAAGAGACTGAACGATGTACCTTGTTGGGTAACTTGGCAAGCAAAGCCGATTTGCATGTTGTCACAGTCCCCACTGATCCATTTGCCGTCTGCTTGTCCTCCGATCATCATTAGTACACAGCTCCCAATTACGCTTGGATTTCCTCAAAAGTAGTGTTTCAGGAAGTCGAGCTGTCTCTTCAGAAAACATTAAGACCGACATACCAGGATAGAAGGCGTCATAGGGATAGGATGGGCCCTGTCCATCGTCCCATTGGCAATTTTTCGCTACCGTGTCGGAACATTTCAATCCCAACCACACAAGGACACCCTCTTTTTGGGCCAGCTGCTGGATGAGATTGTTTGTCTGTAACTAACTGCTCTTTGCAATTAGAATTATGCACATTAACATGTATTGCATTTTTTCGAGTTTAATCGAGCTGCAGCTGAGTAGGCAAAGTCATCAGAGCTTGGTCTTAAGGCGGATCGAAGAGGGAAAGGCCGAGTCGGTGTTGCGACATGTTCGTGAATAATGTTGCAAGGCTCTCGTTTCTTCCCACAAATAGCACTTTTGTTTAGGGTCACCGATGAATGTTAAAGAGAGCGTGTTATTTATATGGCTACCAAACAGTAGCGATGAAATTGTCAGAGTTTGATGAGTTAATTCCCCTTATCAGCTTGAATGAAGAGTTCACCTCACAGGTTACAATAACGGGAACGTCAGAGGTAGTTGGATTTCTATAACTTACGAAGGCATTGTGGATGGAAACCAGCCGACCACCATCACTCTCACAACTTGCCGAAGCCTCGAAATAACTACTATGGTTGGAGAATACCTGAAAAGGAGTAATTCAGCCTCGTGCTGTACAGCTGCATTAATGGCGCAGTTTCACCTTGTAGCATATGTCGTTATCTCCGCTGGTGTACCCGCTCGGACACGTGAGAGCATTCACTGCAGTTACGGTTATTAGTTTTTGACAATTACTGAGCTTAGAATTTTTTGAAAATTTGACCAAAATGAGCTCAATCTTGCCAAGAGCGTTAGGCAGTGCCCTGATACATAGAAAGAACTTTCATAACTATAAGGGCAGGGTGTGGTTCCAAAAATGGTTTGAATCGAAATGCAGTTACTCTACACGTTTAGAGTTTTCTCGACCGGGCTGTCTCAAGTGTGTGGCCAGTACTTTCTCAAGTTCTAAACTATTTCAACACAAAAGACTTCTTACAATTAGTATAAGGAATTCTGAACACCTGCCAGCCTGATGCAGGGGTTATGGGCTGTCTGGGGGAGCCACTGGGGAGACAGGCAAATTTACAAATAGACCTATCTATCTTTTCACTAGAACTTTTACCGGGGCCGTCAATGTGAGATCTCCCACTGGAAATTCCCAAACGATGGTTGATCTTATTGAGAGCCAAAAAATTCAAAACCTATGCTTTTAGGAGACGCACTGGAAAGGTAGAAGCTAGAGAAATCCGAGGGTTGTCAAGCTCCACTACAACGGAGAAGACATCAAACAAAAAGGTGGCCATCGCTGAAGCGGAATCTCTCGAAAACCCTGTCTCCGTCGCCAACAGAATCACCGGTGCAATGACGGCTGCGAGGATGGACACGAAAGAGGGTTGGTGGATAATAATATCCGTGTACGCACTACAAGGCGGCCGCCCTGATCACGAAAAAAGACAAGTTATATCTGAGCCCGACGATGCCATCAGGTCAGCCCCTGAAGAGAAGTATCTTACCTTAACGGGTTATCTGAACGGCTATCGGCAGGGAACTGAGGGGCTTTCAAAGGATTTACGGTGGTAGAAGGATAGGGGCCACAAGCGAAAAAGGAGAAGGGCATTCGATCTGGCTACAGCCCACGACCAAGCAGACTGTAGCACCTTCTCCGCGGAAAGCAAGACTCGGAAAGGTATCTAAAGCAGTGAAGGGGGACAAACGGAAGTCCACCATAAACTTGTGAAAAGATCTTCCCTTAAAACTGTAAAATACATCAATGCCTGGCAAAAATCTCGCTACACATGTTCCCAAAAAATCAAGGGCGAAAACGGAGGGGAGGAGCCAGTGGTGGAAGCTGCGCCGGGGCGAAATAGAAGATCTTGAACGGAAGATACTATAAGTTGGTTCCCGGATGCCGAAGGACCGATCCAGCAGACCATGGAGCTAAAGTCATCCTACGGTGTGCGAAAGCTTGGTAAGCCTCATTGTGGATTTCGAATTTTGAACAAGGAAGCGTCCTATCTTATGCCCGTTAAGAGAAAGCAATGGCTGCAGATAGTCAGTATATGGCGCAATACTGCTTTGTAATTGTCAGTGGGCTTTTTGTAAAGAATGCATTGCGATTACACGCAACTCGGATTCAACCTCCATAACTTGAGTGCAGTGTTTCTGTACCACCATGAGCTTCCGTAAGCTGCACCGTCGGTGCACATTGTTACCAGAGACTCGACTTGCTTCGTTCGATGGGACTTTCTCGCACACGAGGAAAATGGCTCACGTACACTTGTTTTCGGGACCGTTCAATACTAGGCTGTATTTTGACTCGGCAGCTCTCTGTGCTGTTCTTGGGGCCACAGGTTCATCCTAAAGAGCAGTCTCAGAAACCGTTCCGATTTTTCTAGGAGAGCTGCCTTCAAGGGTATCACATACGCTGTCGTCAAGGCTCTGGCTTGACCTCTTACTTGTCAAAGTTCAAGTGTCATGGTCTGCGAAAAACCAGCCCGGCGCGGTATTTTGTAATAGATACATCTTGAAAATGCTGATAACTATCACACCTGGCTATTGCTTCGGACTTGAAGTTTTTACATCGTTCATTTTCGATAGGGCGACACCCTCCCTATCAGGGTAGCCATGAGAACAAGCAGGGCAAAGGAACTGTCTCATTGTCAGTCCCACTTATAATGTACCCTTGGTTAGAATACTTTTCGAATTCTTACGTGATAAAAACCTTCATCTTCCACATGTCCGATCCAAAGAACATGTCCAATCCATACGATGTCTGAGCCCTGTGCTTTAAATGGACTTTGGGCATAACATCAGAATACTTCTTGAGCTCTGCAGCAGTTTTACGGCTCGAACCGCGCCGTTCTTCAGAGTCGTCATATTGATGCGATTGGAGATGTCTTGTAGGTAGGATAAGTGTTTTTCGTGCGAATCATTCTTCTTTCTCCTTGAGAACATCTTGCATCGGGTGGACCATGAACGCTGTCGCCACGAACTAATTATTCTCCGCAACCGATATCGGGCTTATAGAACCGAACATCAAGCAGGTTGACGGAATGCTAAATCAACAACGCTAGCATAGGGAAACAGACGGTACTGACTAATTCTATTCGATGAATCGAAAATCAACGAGATAACAATTGGCTGAATTGAATGCTGTGGTCAGGATTTTGTGTTCTTCGATATGCAGAAGTGGCGCTGCTAACTTAGAGAGATAGAAGATGAACTTTTACTTCCACGAAGGAAAATATTTTTCTAGGATAAAAACTATTAATTGTTGTACCTAGGTCCCTTCTCACACCCTATATCCACAACTGATTTAGTTCAAATTAAAAAACAAATGTTTTGGTCTCTCGAGAGGAAAATGTCATCTAAGGCAGAATAATGCTCCTACCGTGAATAATAGCAAGGAGGAAAGTGATACCATGAGCAAACACAATTGATTGGAGAAGCATTGTGCCGCTCTAAGGGAGTGTCTTTCCCGAAACTCCTTCGTTTTATTTTACCGATAAGCTTACTCGAACTCCTATCAACTCCTTCGAACTAGAAGACGCTAAATGACGTCCACAAGTTAGTCATCACAATGATGACCACATTTCCGCCGATAAGAGAGAAGCGTGGGGAAACGGATCGTTATCAGACGAAGGGCCTTCGTCAATCACTTACAGACGGACTACTTCGACGCATTTTGATAAGAAATTAAGAAAAAGCTTGGTTGGAAACTTGCAAGAGATGTTCATAACAGAACTTTTGCGTTTATATCCTTACTATTATGGGAAAGCATGGAGTACTGCATATTTTATAAATTCATTTAGGAGGGTGTGCCTTCAGGCTCTTTATAACTCACGCGAAAGAATAAACTAAATTACAGGAGAGCCGATTGCTCCACATTCTTGGTTTTTCTCTGCAAAGCGCTTCTTCGAAGGGATAAGTAGTTTTATGCTTGACGATTTAAATTCGATTTAAAACTATCGAGATCTCCACATTGACATTTCGGACGAGTTTGCCGAAGAGATTCTAATTGCATGTTGCCAGTGCTCAAATTCCACGCTTGAACTGCCATTTGAGGATGCAACCAATCTGAAATTCGGTAATGGAGGAACGTTACTCAGACACATAAGAGTAGTCTCTATACCTCGACAGAATCAGCATTTCATTGAGCAATGCCGCCTTATCCGTTTTTGTGTCTAGTGATGCACACATATCGACAAAGCTGTCCTGCACTTTCTGTAAATTGAAATTCCTTTATAATCGTAGAGAGAACAAGCTCTGTTACGAAATGATACCAATGGCACAAACTGAAACCTTAGAAACGTCATCCGCTAGCGATATGGAGCTTACACCACTACGACATCGTTGCAAGTACTCTCGTTTCTTCTCGACATTTCCAACAAATACCGGCGGCTTGGAAGGTTCAATGGGAATACGGAATGGGGTCTGAAATTTATGCTCGTATAATAACTCCTTCAAAGGAAGAACTATCAAAACATAACTAACAAAACATTTAACTATCAAAACAATGTATTCCTACCTTGAAGAATCTGGATTCCTTTTTCGACAGAATTAAAACATTGTAATCGACATCCATGGGAATTTTATAAAATCCGTAGTCGTACGATACCCTGTGCTCAACAATCAGCTCATCTAGTACTTTCAAGTTCTCCTCAACTGAAAGAAAACCGGTTTAACCAACCACCGCGAAATAACGACTCACTGTGTGGTACAGAAGTAACATCATACTCAACTCGAGTAAATTCTGCGAAATAATGGATGCCAGCTGCTAATTACATTACATGAATAAGTTTTGAAATTTCACTATGAATGCACTTTTACCATGATTGTGTGAGTGTACATGTGCGTAAGTGTTTCATTGGCAATTCGTAACTTCTGATATCATGACCTGAACCGTCCAAATCCGAAAGAGATATAGGTGGCAGGAAGGGACAAGAAGTGATTAAAATGATATGAGCTGACTTGTAGCAATGAATGAAAAAGCTAGTAAAGCAGTTGGGTGTTTGCGCGTTTTGCATTAAAGTGAGGCCTCGAAAATTTCATGTGTGAAGTAGGATGAGGCGGTTCATAAACGCTTAGAGATAAAAGCTGATCACAGCAAGTGATATGACAAAACTTATCCCACCACCAATTATCTGAAAATTTCAACCAACGACTAATCAGATTGCTATAGAAAAGTAGCTACTCTAGAAACCCAATAAAGGAAAGGATGAGGTCCCACATGGATGAGTATTGTTAGCATTAAGAGCAACAGACCGAAACTTCGTAGTCCTAACCGTCACCACGTTTTGAGTTACAGTTGCACGCTCTTCATACTATGCTCCCCCTTAGGGCCTGTGTCAAAATTGTAGCATTCGCGTGTTCCTAGGCAGAACGAATCAGAAATTGCAGATTAGAAAGTACCGCTCGTTTCGAAAAAAGATGTGGTGTGCCAGCCGGTACTCTATGTCGCATGAAGAATAGGGTCCTGCGTGAGCTGACCGTTAGACTGTATAATTATAACATAGGAAATAGTTGTAAAATGACCATACCGAAGCCACTAACTGGAAAGGAGCCAGTAGGTAGCTGAGTCTCATCAATGATTAGAACAGTGCCGTTGCTTAACTGCAATTCTCCTTGGAGTAGTGTATCGGTTTCGTAATTCTTCACTGGCGCGAAACGTGCTTTCGAGAGTAACTCTGGCGTGAGAGTAAGAACTTTCACCTGCAAAGTGTAAGCACCCGCTAAAAATGGCGAGAATAAAGGAAAAGATAGAGCTACAGATTACGATCCAATGATTTCTGTTCAAAAAAGGAAAATCAGGAATCATGGTAAAATTACAGTAAAAATAGGGTAAAGTATAGAGTAAAATTGATGCAGCCAATACATCACAACAAACAATGGAAGAGGGCCATACTTGTGAATGTTCCTCATTGCATAAAGTCGTCCTTCGGAATCTTACCTTGGGCATCAAATGCTGTACCAACTCAATCACTTTGTGAGCAACTCCAGAATCAGTAATACCAACAATATTCAAAGGTAAAAAGCACAATGGCGTTCCACCCGGGCGAGAATACCTAAAAGCTCAATACAGGTACAAAAAGTCTTCAGCATCAAGTTGAATGAATAAACCAACAAAACTGCATGGGAGGATTTCGTTTATAAAAAAGCGCTCCAAAATGATAAAATAGGGATGGTTAGAGTCACAGATCTTTTATGAAACCTCGAACTCAAACATAATCTCGATTCATGCACATTCTAAACCACTAATACCTTGAAACTTACGTGGTGGATATCAGAAAATTGATGAAGATATCAGCTGCTGAGGTACTCCCCAAGACAGATGATACTTCTCTGATAAGGTCATTACGTATAGAAGGCGAATTTAAGCCTAAAATATTAGGAAACAACAAATCCAATTCAGATAAAATGTTAATGGCAATATTAGCAGAAACTCTAACATAAATCTATAAATAAACAAAGATACATATGTAACTGACTAGCTGACTCCTCTGGATCAGTCGACGGTACGTGTCTAACCTCTTCCATACGCAGCACATGAACGGTAACTTGCTCGGAAGAAACAACAGTATCACTGGAAAACGAAACTGAGCGTAAAAATGGTGTTTTGCAAAAAGAGTAACAACCACTCACTCTTCGCCACTGGAATGCGTTGATGCTGATAAATAACCATAGATATCTACAACTGTGTTTGCTTTTAACTCGGGAGTTCCATCGTCGAAAACCTTAAGATTTCAGCAAAGTGGAGCGGAAAAGGTGAATTTGAAAAGCCGACCGTTTTGTCAAACAAACCTTGGCGACGAATTCAGTTATCTTTGTAGGAACTGGTGCAGGTGATATCTCCATTTGTTCTGAATATACGAAAGTAAATTTTGTCATTTTGATAAAAACATTATGCGACCACTGAACGTAAACCATGAGTCAAAGAACAGAGTGCAGTCGTTTGGGATTTGTTGAAATCATCAAGCCACCAGTCTACCGCACCGGGCACCATGACCATCTTATAACAGTAACGGCTATGGTGATGTCCATGATCAACCAGGTTCTGGAAATATGAAGTAATGTGAACAATGGAATTTGAGAGAATGCGAGTCTTGCTTTCTGCAGTACAAACAAAGAAAGGAAATGTTTGGTGCTTAGAAAAAGGGAAGGGAAGGTCACTTGTATTGGCCAGAGCCGAAGAGCTCATTGTAACTCAGTTCCTTTCACTGTCTCACTACAGTTACTTTCCGACAAAACGATGAAACAAAAGCGATAGAAATTTGTCGATCAGCTGTTGGTCGATGTGCGGCCTCTGGCCTATACTTTATATATCAGTTCACCACAAACCAAAAAAAGCAAGGAATAGAAGAAACTGACGCACGGGAAGGAGCCATAGAAATCTAGAGAGCGAAGTGATATGAGATACTGGTCCTTATCAAGAGGACTAAAGACGCATCAACAGAGTGAGGGACAAGAAAAAGGGAAGGGTTCACCTAGGAAGAAAAAGAAAACCCATAAACAGTAGTTTTAAACAGTAGTTTAGAAATGACCATGGAATGAACATCCCTACACGAAATTCTATTCGTTGAAGAGAAAAATGACTTAAAGCAACAAAATAATCTAACCGTTACATCATCTTCAAAAGAGTCCCTCAAGCAACCAGTGACTTCTACTGTCTCCGAACCCTTGGATACTGTGCAACTGAGAGGAAAATATTCTGCAATAACAAAATTTGAAGAACGAAATTGCACAAAAAAAAANAAAAAAAAACGAAATACTACCTGGCGTAAGAGTATTTTGAACCATGCACCGAGCAGAAATGAGGTAGCCAGGAAGCACTTCGGAAGTATGGAGCGAAACAAACAACTTCTGAAAGCAAACGAAAACCATCAAGCCTCGATCTTGGAATGAATTTGGTACTAAATGTCACAAACATTATCGGCAAAAGCTTCATTGACATCAATGAGCAGCTGATTCGGGGAACTGACGTACGTCTCGCGCCTCTCTGAAATGGATCACAGTTATATTTACCTGCATGCATGCGATATGCGTGAAAAGAATAGATTTGGAACGGTACAGATCACCTACCAGAAACTAACTCAAGAAGAAATAACTCAATATTAAAAAGAGTAATACTGACCGGGTTTTACTAACACTGGGATGGGGAATGAACTGTGAGGGTGAGACGTAACTCAAAAAGGTAGTCAAGAGGTAAAATAACCTGTAAAGGGGTGCTGCATTTACATTCAAAGGCATAGCGCTTGTATTTCCACTAGATCACGATGAGCAGGTCAAGTCCTACCCCTGAGGCTTTACTGGCAACCCATATAAAAACGCCATTTATAGATGCACACGCTATTCACTGAGGAAATTGTTCACTCGAATTATTATGTAACTTCTTGAGAGTTCAAATAACTGCTTTCGTGTTGTCTTTTTTAGTCCAAAATTACGAGCTACCAGGTAAGTCCGATGCGCTCTAACATGAAACGCTAAATGCATGAAACAGACATATTATAGGATGACTCGAAATGAATAGGAAGCTCAGTTCCCCATGCTGGTTTTTTCGTACAAGATGGGCAAGTGAATGGGTACCTCATAGCAAACTTTGGTTTCTGAGTTTGGTCGAGATAAATGTATGAATTTCGGGGAATTATGGCACTTTTATGTTACATTTGGTGACTGCTGCTTACAAAATTCCTTCAAATTTTGAGCAAGTACATACTTACTATTACATTCATAAGAAAATTTAAATCAAAACCTGACCTCGCCATAGTTGATCGACAACTTTCATGAAATCTTTTGATGCCAATTCGGGAGCTGGAGCCATACCTATAAAAAATGATGTGAAAAACTACAACACATTCAAAACTAAGGTTATCACCATTTACTTTCAAAAGGTAAACAATGTATGGACAGAATATTCAAAGGATCCACACAATGCAGATACAAAGGAGTAATGGGCAAATTAACACAAAACCTCTCTAAATTTCAGTAACCCTAGATGCTAACCGTATTGTATGAATTAACGAAAAAAAATCGACATTAGGAAGCCTTTAAACAGGCGACAGTTTGAAAACCACAGCTTCCCGCGTGAGCGAAAACTCGTCCTTGCGCGCCACTCTTATTTAACATTGACCGCTAGAGCGCAGAGAAGAAGGGCTAACTCACTTTGCTTGTTTTTGGAGACGGTTCTTAGAGATTGGGATATAGTTTTTATTTAAGCCTTAGGAGGGGAGGAGCATCAAGCTTGGTGAGATAATTAGCTGGTGCAGCCGGGATGGGGTCAAATTAGATCATGTAATTGACTCATCCGTTGTTTCCGGTTGAGAAACGGCCCTAAGCACCATCAGAGGCTGCTTTCATAGTCCACGATTTGGCCCGCGAGCGAGTGCGCGGGCGAGGGGCAGCGCTTGCACCTTGTTTGCAACTGATTCTTGTCGATACCGCCGGCCGAGTAGCCTCCGGCCGGCGCGCTCGCGGGCCAATGGTGGACTAAAGAGAACGTCCGTTGCGCGTGTCCGTCGAAAGTAGGTCACCCCGCCCACTTCGCGCGCGGCGCATCACACTGACTCGATATGACATTACAGTACCACCAAGCGTCGTTGGAGCAAATGATTTGCATTTGTCTGTGTTATCTTCTTCTTGAAC